ATCATTTTTATTTTTATTGCTTGATGTTAGTTATATAATGTGATTTATATACAGTGCTTCTGAGTGCTGTATAAAATTGATAGCTCTTGCTGGGTGAACACACAAGTACTATCTTTCTTTTCTTTAAACACGCTGAATTTTGGCTTAGAGAAGCCTGGCAAGTCTTTCCTCCCAGTCAGAGGTCTGAAGAAAGTGAGTAAGTGTAGATAAAACCAGCTTGGTTAATCATCACTGAAACACAGGAAAAATTAAAATACATTTTTTTGCTTGTAAAGTAGAGAAAAGTAATAAAAACAATGCCAGACGGTTAATGCCTCTCTTGTACCTTTCATTTCAAAGAGCTCAAAAGAACATCAAGAAGAATAAAGGCAAAATCTATTCCCTATTGGCATCATTATAAATGTTGTATCCTCTAAAACTCTAAAGACATCCAAGAAGAGTAGAAGAATAAATGGCCTTGAAATAAAGAAAGTCTCTCTGGAGCTTTGTTCAATCGGCTTTGTTAGAATTCACTCAAATAGGATGATTATAAGAAAAGATCTCATTTGTTTCAACATTAAAGGAGCAAATTAATATGTGGTGAGCTGCTAATAATTGCCTCATTATGTAGTGAATGGGCATTGCGTCCAATTTACAAAATTACAATCATATTGTTAAAGTAACAATTGGGAAAGTTTAATCTGAATTTCCTAACTATCTGTATGATTAGTTGTGGGATTCACAGAGGGAAGCAGAGTCAGTGGTTGGAGTGAACTCTCCAGTGCACCACCAGCCTACAGAGCTACGAAAGTCGCAAGAGAAATTCAGCTTTTCATTAGTGTAAATTACATCTGCGTAGGTCCTGAGCTATATTTGGTCCAACAGAAGAGTGAATCTGGCAGTCTCTGCGAACACAGGAGCTTGGCACGTGACTGGTCTGTCAAGACATTGTTTTGTGGGACTTTGCTGACTTGTGCTGAAGTTTTGGCCAAGAGGTTGACACCTGGCCTGAGATCATACCTGCTTGGGACTTCAGCAAACCCACACGTCCATGTCTGGGTAACTTGATGATCCAGGATCTGTGGCATTGGGAAACCCACTCGTACAAACGGTCCTGCAGCTGGAATTTCAGTCTTTTGGTGGAGACATTTGAAATGATAGGGGAGTTGTTTCAAATTGGAAAGTAACCAATTTTCCAAACACTGAAATATTCTGTGGAAGAGAATCATGTTTTGTGACCTACTTCTAGTTAGATTTGCTTGTGACCTTTTCTAATTCTGGCTGTTTTTGTTATTTAATGATTTGACCTTTGATTCTGTGAAGCCACTTCAGTGCTAAATGCAAAGATTTAATAACTAGAACTGTTTGATAAGTGACCTTTATTACACAGCTATTTCTCTTTGCTAGAGAAACAGCACTGTTTTGCAAGTTCTAATTCACAGTTTTAATTATCTTTTCTATTGTCTGTAAGCTTGCACAGGAAATAGAAAGGTCAGACATTTCATTTTCTTTACTGATTAAAATATAAGTGCTCCTCAACAGTTACAATGTATCATTCAGGAAAAAGATGGGACAATTTGTAAAAATCGCGCCCAGCTGCTCTGCTGAGGACTTCTACATCCTTCTGGTCAGCAACAAAATGAATAATTTTCTAGAAGTAATAATAGTTCAGCCCCCGTGGTGCATAGAGGTGAAATATGTGTCTAAACACATGAAAAGAGAAGAAAAGGTGAATGGTTCTCTATGGCTTTTTCTTTAGCTCCTGTATCTACAATGCTAGTGAATTAAGAACTTGTGAAAGGTACAGGTAAACCCTTAACTCATGTTCTCGGTCCAGAGAGAATAAACAGTAACAGCATAGCTTTCTGTATGGTCTTGCCAATCTGTATGAATCCCATTGCTGCTGGACCATCTCTGCAGGTGAGAGGGCAGCCTGGACTGCCTATCAGACCCATTTTTGGTTTCTCTGATAAGGCTGCTGATGAGTTAGTGTTTAATTGCTGTCCCTGTGTTTGTGATGTGGACACCTGTAAGCAGTTACTGTTAATTGCAAAACAGATCACCAAGAAAGCATTTTTTCTCTAATTCTCCAGTTTTCAACGCTGTATTCAATTTTTTGCGTGTAAGAATTTTCTCTCTGCTTCTTTTCATCCTTAATACAACCAAAACAGCAAGTTAAATGGAAAAATGATAGTTTCTCATACTGATTGGGGCTATCGTGGGCAACCTTGCAGCCAAAAATCTGCAGATGGGAAAAGGGTGTGAGAGATGTAGGACCCCAGAGTTTCGGGTGAGGGGGCACAACAGCACATCGCTCCAACTCCTCGAGGGTCATAGGGAGCTGTAACTGTGTCCTAGTTCAGTAGCAGAAGTAGCAGCCACAACTACCCAGGTGCTTCCCAATTCTGGCCCCTTGAGCACCCAAATCCCTGTGCCTGAATAGTTCCTGTGGGAGCCACCTGGCAGAGAGGCTACATTTGAGCAGCTTTTGAGCCTTAAAGTGGTGGGACAGCCATACCTGAGCGAGGGTGTAATAACAAACAGGAATGTCGTGTTAAGTGAGGAAAACGAGAAAGCTGTTTTATGTGGATTACTGAAACTGTCCCTTTTGTCTATGACACTTATAAACCAACACCGCAAGCTGCTGGCCTGGCTCCATATGGGGGTTCAACAAATGAATATCGACCTGTGTTTTCTCATATGGTGAGGCAAAAAGATACCGAAGTCAGTGGATGATTCTGGAGTCAGTGGAATTTCTGTCATGAGTGCCAGTCAGTCTCCTAACTCTCTCTGGGATCTCTGTTGGGAAATATGCATATTAGGACATGTGAAATTTCTCTACATTGTAAAAAATATTTATTCTGAAATAGGGCTAGGAGGGGTTAAGCCTCTGCCTCTATTGAAGAAGAGCAGATTATATGTTGACCTAGTGCAGGCATTCAATATTATGAAAGTGCTTTATAAATTGGAACAAGATAAATGAATCACAACAAAAGAGCTAAAAAACCGGGGGACACAATTGCAGGAGTGAGTGTACTCGGTTTATTCGAGCATAACAGTTACACTCAGTGAATAGAAAATGTGCAATGCATTTCTAGCTAAGGTCAGAAAATCAAACAATTCCAAATTTTAGAAAGCAACTCCATTTTAATGGATAAGGAAGAGTTGGGGGGGGAGATGACACACACAAAACTAAACAAAACAAAACGCAACACTGAGGTTGAGACAAATTTAAATGGGACCAGATTCTTGACCAAATTGGCTTTTCCTATCTAGCATATTCAGCATTTGTTAGTTTGAAAGTTCACCCTGGAAGCTATAAATTAATCTACTGGGACTGTAACAGTTCAGTTCATGTTAGGATGTGAGTTATGCTTATGGATTTGTTTAGGTCACCCAGCCATGTCCTCCTAATGTATCTCAGAGAGGATTTCTGTAACTAAGCGGTAAACAGAAAGACTGTTGTGTTGAGCTGCATCTCTTGGGATTTCATCCCTGCTGTCAGAGAGCTGTGCAGGACAGCTCTCTAAAACAACAACAGCTATAAAAAAAATACATGGTGTTCTGTAAAGGAAACATTGCCAATGCTTTTGCATGCAGCCAGGAATCTTTAACTCCTGATGAAATGAGGAAAGAATGTTTTCATGAACCACTCACATAGAGAAATCAAACCTTTGCAATTGTGAGATTTATTGCAGAAATCCTGCAGGATGCACCTTAGTTCAGTACAATATTTGTCACCCAAAGATGAGATATTTTAGCTGTTATAATTTGTCTCCCTTTGGATGTTTATTTCTTGTCCTTTTATTGTGAACCATTATGAAAGATATTTGATGTTTTGTCAGCCACCATGTCCTAAGGTTATAGTGCTTAAATGTAGCCAGGATATTCACCCACATCAGCTAAATGAGATGGGATTTTGAAGGGAAATAACCACAGGTCTGATCAGAAAAGCGTCTAGCATCCTGTCAGGCTAAATGTCCAAAGAACATGAGGGGAGTTATTCCTAACAAACATTAAACTGTAGTCACTGGCTCCCAGTTGGGAGCATGACAGAAGATCAAGTCTGTGACCATACAAAAAATTGTAAATGAACTGTGGTCTGGACCTTCTTCTGTAGGTTTTTTTGATGGATCTAGTTTTCTTTTGATTTAGATTTCTAACCAAACTATTCATACAATCCAACTTAAATACAGGGCATTTCCTTTTAGTCTGTTGGTGCAAAAGAACCAAAAGACATTTACTATTTATACTCTGACAAACAGAACATCAGGTAGGTCTCTCTGTTAGATAACTGTTCCTATTTTCAATTCAAACTGGAGAAATAGTACCCTAGAACGTGCTCAGGAAACACTGTCTTTGACTTTGATTTGCCCAGGATTAAGTTCCTAGTTCACATGTCACCAGTCCATCCGCCTCTCATTTTTCACAGGTCATAACTGTTCTCTGGAGAAAACAACATATTCCTCTGACTACATCTCCTTTCTAACTGCAGGATTTTCATGCTACTAGATTGCTTTTTAGAGTTACATCTTATGTTTGACTTCTGTCACAAATTTGGGAACTATTCATTCAGACACATAAACACAGTCAGTGTATAGGTAAATTTCCAGGATTACGTTTTAGGCCTCTTTTCTATTGCTGACAACACCTTGTTAAAAGAGGAGAAGGCATTGATCTAAATATTGTTTTCTGCTGCTTCTTTCTTTCATTGTTTTCTAGTGGAAAGAGTAACATTCAGAGGAAAAAAAGGAATTATTATTTTCCTAGTTGACTTTGCAAGGCGGAGAACAAAGGAAAAGACTGGAACTGCCTATTTCATTAAAAAGGATTGCACTCAGAGCTTTGTAGCGGTAGGGTTTTCTACTAGATCTACCACATGAGGATTGTTAGGGTTTTTTTTAAGGAGAAGCGTTGCTAACAATTTGTTGGACTGTGCCCATCATTCTTTTAATTGAATTTTCAGTCTCCGTGTTTTATAGAGAACGACTTGCCATATATTTTTGTTTCCTTTCTTCCAGCCTCTACAACTTGACTGTGACCTCTGTGCCATTGTTTCAAACTCGGGACAGATGGCTGGCCAGAAGGTGGGAGCTGAGATAGACAAGTCCTCCTGCATATGGAGGATGAACAACGCTCCCACAAAGGGCTATGAGGAGGATGTTGGGAAGAGGACAACCGTACGAGTGGTCTCTCACACAAGCGTGCCTCTGCTACTCAAGAATCCCGAGTACTTTTTCAAAGAAACCAACAACACTGTTTACGTGATCTGGGGACCTTTTCGAAACATGAGGAAGGATGGAAATGGCATTGTGTACAACATGCTGAAGAAAACTGTTGACAGCTACCCAACTGCCAAAATCTACGTGACCACAGAAAAGCGCATGAGTTACTGTGATGTAGTATTTAAGAGGGAGACAGGAAAAGACCGGTAAGTCCTAAATATGAAGAACAATTATAATATTTGACAAAAGATACATGAGAGAAGTCCATGCCGTATGCCAGCTACTAAATGAATCCCCAGATATGTTTTTAATGGATTGTTATATGGGCTTGACTGTTATAAGCACTTGATGAGGCAGCAGCTAGGCCCCATTTACCCCACCTACGCTACCTTCTGTTCTTTCCATTTCTGTTGGCTCGAGTCCCAAAAATATTGGATGTCTTCCTGAAACATTTTCAAAGCTGTGTGTTGTTTTCAGCTCAATTTACTATTGATTAAATTGACATTTTATTTGAAGAGGATAATCCTACACAAACAAATGCACATCCTCAGGATAACTCTGGATATTATATTTTCTTCCCTGTTGAGATTCGCTGTAGCTGTTCTTCAAACACAAACCTCAGGGTTATGCATTATTTCTGTTTCTTGGTGAAAATGGATTATCAGTGATACTGTAATAGATTTAGGTTTTTAACCAGAATTATGCTGAAATTCTATTTTCCATGCCTGAGAATGTGTGTTTATGCTGCGTAAGTGGGGGCTGTAAGGAGATGAAAGTGTGAGGGCCACTGTTTTGGCTAGCATGTTGGGAGCAGAAATTCGATTTGTGGAATTGAGACCACAACTTGTAGGATTTTGTAACCGAGCTGCAAAAATTCTGATCATCTGTGTTTGGCATGGAAGAGCACCTGTCACACATGCTCACTGGAGCTAACTAGGAAGGAGTTTCCAGATCACTGCTGTGCCTTAGTATTAATTTTTGAATTTGCACATCATGAATTGCAGTTGTGAAGGACTGTAGCTATTCTGACCAAACTAAAAATGCAGGTATTCACAAATACTTTCAATTAGTCCAAAGTTTTGACTTACCTTTTGAAGTAGAAGAGCTTCTTCTCTCAAACCTCCTTGATTCACTTAATTATTAAACTGACAGAACTTGGTTAGGGTTGATTTTTCCTCTTTTAAAAACTATTGAAACATAGGGAAGAACTTGCCCCTCAGGTTGTTCACCATGTGCACGTTACTGCTGCAATTCTGGAGCTGGAGAGAGCTGCAGTTTGTCATAAAGGTGTCATCGTTATCATGGCTTCTTTGGTTTGACTCAATAAGCTGATGAACAGAGGCTAATAGAGAAAATACACAAGATCCGTTCTTCAAAAATGACCTCTAATAATCCAAGTCATCTGATTTGCATATTAATCGAGCTAATATGATCATGGGTACATTATTGCAGTGCTAAACATAAAATTGTTTATATTTATATAACTCTTCAATGTTAACAGTCAGTCAGGTCACAGTGACTTTACAATACTTTATCAAAATCCTTATTGTGAGACCTGACGTTAGTATATCCTATCAAAGAAATCATCTCCAGCCTAATCCATTCCTCTTCAACAGATTAACACATCTCAAGGTTTTATTATTACTCAGTTAACACAATACAAATGCTTCCTTCTATGTCAAAGGCAGATTGAACTTCTGTTCTCTCAGTGCTTATAAACAAAGTTCTTAAGCAGCCTAATGTCAAAGTGGCCCAATTTCTTTCTCCATAATCTGTTACAACAACTAAAAGTTTCACATTGTGAACAGTGATAAATTGTAAATAGCCTGCCTCATGACCCACATCACGTTGCCTTTGCACGTGCTTCCCTTTAACGCTGGGGACAAACCTCACCAATTCTCACAGTGGCAATCGGATAACATCCTTGTATCTTCTGCAACTTTCATTTTTAGTCCTACTTTTCAACATCAAATACTAAGCGGTGTTTTTAACATCATTTAGTGCACTTGTCAGCCAGAAACAAGGGAAAGAATCGACGTGTCACCAGCCAACACCTTCTGTATCACTGGAAAACATCCTGCAGTTCCCTACTAATCAGGGGACCGCAGTTTGGAAACTGTTTCATTTTCTGTAACATCTTCAATTCACAGGAACCGTCTGGTGTTTCTAGGGAGGGTCATGAGGCTGTTAGAGGTATGTGGCATTTGTGGAAGCAGTAAAGGGAGAGCACAAGAGATTTGTGGGTGATGAAAATAGTTTCGCGCATTGTGCCAGACTATTATGATGCTGAGACAGACTAAAATTCCTCAGCCAAATATTCCTTCAGTTCCTCAGAGAAACATCAGCTCTTGCTTGCAATATTAGATTGAACAGAGGTCTGTTTCAGCATGTTCCCAGCAAAAATTCTGGAAGGAAACCAAGTTCAACTCATATTTTAAAATGTACTGAGTGGATTGTAACCACATCTATTTTAGCTTAATCCTAAAATACTGTCCGTATGTACAGTGTATGCTACTAATGCATTGTAAGATAGCAACAGATTTCTAGTCTGTCAAGCCTTTAATGAGCTTTCTATTTCTACTCTTTGATGTACCATCTTTTTAGGTAATTAGTGGGACTTTTCAGTAGTTTCATCCCACTGTGCTCGAGTTTTAAAGGATGTTATGAGAAGCAGCTAACACATATATGCTGCCGTCACTTTACTGCAGAAAAGCTCTGGTCCTGCACCACTGACATGGGAGCTTCATCCCTGACTTCACTGAGTGCAGGTTCAAAACCCACAGCTTTGGTATTGACAAATGGTTTATTATTTGTTCATGGAAGAAACAAGAATTACCTCTAAATAACTTCCAACTAACAATTTTGTTTATTTTGCAGTGAAGCATTTTTTAATTCTACATCAGTACAAAATACCCTCTGGTATGGGCTATCCACGTTGGAAAATTAACCTTGCATGCGGTGTTATGAATCTGGGGACATATGTTCTTTCTGAGAGTCTTCATTAGTGAAGTATTTGAGTTCAAGGCGGTGAATGCTCATCCACTTTGAATAATTGTTGTACATAAATAATATTCATTACCAGACATTCACAATTTTTCATTAATGCATTTTACTTGGTACTTCCCTAGAGGGAGCATAAAGCTGGCAGCTTCTTCCAGTACTTCACTAATGTTTTGGTATATTATATGTATTGAGTGAAGTAAAAGGATTTAAAGAAACACTAGGTAATTACTAAATGTGGCGTCTTTGTGTGTGCCTCAATCCAGGTAAGTGGTTCTAAGCCTTCTATATCTTTGCCATGCATTAGAAATATAATGCACTATGATATAACAACGTTTAATTGGTAATAACAGAGAAAACTGTAGTCTTCATTAAAGCAGCAGAGCTAATTCTGGTCTGATAAAGTGCACTGAACAGCCCTAAATGGGTTTTAATTAGCTGGCACCAAAGCTGCACCACCCTTAGGGAGGGTAAAATTAATGAAAACTAGCAGCAAATAGATCAATGCTACTGGATGTTATTGCCTTAGGTGAAGGTGATGAGGAAGAAAGGAGTGTCTTTTAAGGATCATTTAGAAAACAGTCTGCGTTAAAAGTCACTTTCAAAAAGCAATGTTAAAAAAAATCTGTGCTATCAGTGAAAAAGTCTAATGTCATCCAGACTGCAGACCCCATTTGAGTTTATACTACATACATCTCAGACTAACCATGTAGCACAGTATGGCCAAGTAGTGCCTCTGATGGCACAGCTCCACAGCCTCTCTCAGGGCTGCTGATGTGATCAGACCGCTCCTGTCCCACTTCATGTGGAGGACGTTGAGCCCCAGCAAACAGCCAGTAATGCACGTGCTGATACCACTCAAAGCACTGCTTAACTCTGTGTTCATAGTCACTCTTCTTATAAATAACGACGGAAAAGAGCCTGCTGAGCTTTGCTGAGGAGATGTATTCTGAACTCCCAAAATTCCCGTTAAGAGACATGAGATGATGTTCAGAAATCCAGCCAGTTTGGTAGAAAACTGACTTTCCACACACACTGTCTTAACTCTGACAACACCCATCCCATACCCAAACAATTCAGTTCAATTCAACAACAATTTATTGAGATTATTAGCTATACAAGCATGTCTACAGGAGGCAGGTTCACTGAGCCACGTTTGCAGTCAGATAGCTGTTTCTGAAGGGTTTTTGTTAATATCTTGGATAATTCCAAAGAAACTAGATTGTTTTTGTGCTTGTCTTCCAGAAGTTCTTAGTTTCCTTTGTTCATGCCAGATGGTGCTATGTGTTAGGTTGTGAGAAAGCTGTTTTATCATTCGAGGCAGAAAGATGGATCATTCTGATCACTGACTTCTGCATCGAGATTCAAAATTCGGGAGTGCGTTCAACCTACTATTTTACTCAGTTCTGTTCACTAATTATTTATTACTTTGGCGATATACGAGATCTATATTATATCTCTGTCATTTAGAACTAGCAAATTATATTCATCTAAAGTTCGAATTGACACTGTTAGACAACTGCAGTCATCACAGCTTCACCTCAGCTAATATGTGGCTTTTGATGTGTCTGACTAATCTACATGGAGCTGTAGTCTAGTAAAAATGTCACTGAAATGAATAAATGAAATTACATTCTCCGAGGCTCAAGTAGCTGCAGCTTCTATTGTTTGGTGATGTTCTGTGTGAATTGAGGTAGTAAAGCTGTCAGTGGCCAGAATGTCAAAGTTTTCCACCATATTTCTGGTTGTTGGCTTGAATGAAATATTATAGTAATGCTATTTCCACTTTTGCACTTGCACACCTATTAGTTTCCCTAGCAAGGCCATTCAGAGAAAATATAAAATCTTATCTAGTGTTAGGTAATATTTGCAGAAAGCAGTTTTTCATTGGGAAGTTGTGAACATTGACACTGAGAGTTAGATTTTGGGACTTCGAAGTACTTCCCATCAGGGTTTTATATTAACATGCTTTTTCTAAAAAAAAAAGATAAATCCTGGAAGGTAAGTGAAAGTTCATTTCATTTTGAAACAAAAATAAGCAAAGTTAGGGAACATCAGTCTTTAAATTACAGAACTCTGGAAGAAAAATGTGGAAAAAACAATTCAGACTGACAGAGGAAATGTATAATGCCTGTTGAAACATTTTTAAGGACAAAACCGAGTTGTAGTTTACATTTTGATATAATCTTTGTCATGATGGTGCTGT